ACCCCCCCCCTTCAAAAGTTTCGTTGTTGTTTTTTGGGTACGTGTTTTCCCTCACGTAGCGGCAGGCAGCCCCAAAAGACACACCATTTTCCCTCCCCTCCCCTACGTGTGTGTGTGTGTGCGTGGGCCGTAATCACTGCTCATCAAATTTACACTGGGGAAAAAACCATCTATCCATCAGTTCTCCTTCTATTGATTCAATTGATTAGTTTTTTATGTTATTTCTGGCCCTTTTACATTGTTTCCTGGAGGGTCCTTTTGTTTTTATATGTGGGCCAACCTTTTTGTTGTCCTTTGGCTCGTGTTGTTTTTTTCGGGCATTCAGCAGTAACCCCAACGCCCGTTATGTTTAATTGCTGCTCACCGTAAAGTTTAACTAGACCTATAAACAGGGGACTAATAGACGCCATCAAGTCGTTTGCATGATTTATACGCTCCTTCGTGCCTCACTTCAGCTTCTTTCCCCGTTAACAATCTATATATATATATATACAGGATACATAAAAAGGCTGTTAAAACCAGGGCAGGGACCAGACAGGATTCTCTCTCCCACATGTGTGGACCATAAACTGATGCAGTAATTGAGGCGGGACAGGAATGCTACTCCCACTTCCCCCCAATGGCCGCTTAATCAATACCCAAATCGTAGAAACGAAAGAGCAATAGCAAAATGGCACTGCAATATATGTAGGTACTATATGTATAAATATTTGACGTGTGAGAATGTTTGCCCCATGAAATGGGACAGAAACACAAGGACTACACACACGCAGGCAAGTGTCGGGGAGCGGGTCTTTTTGGCAGGCAAGTGAGTTGTTTAGCAGGCGACATAACAATTGCAGATTTAGTGAAATTGCTTTTACTTGGAGTGCGGAGTGCGGACTGCAGACTACAGAGTGAGTGGAGTGTCGCACAGAGTGTCGTCTTCTACTTGCCATGGATGGATCTCAACGGTTGTGTACAAAAGATGCGATGCCCCATGCTGTGTCCTCGTCAACGTGTTGTAATCAAATGGAATTTGACGTTGGAATTGCGCAAATTGCGCTTTTATGTAGGCTGTCGATTTGTTCTCACGTCCTCCGTCTCTAGCTCCCTTTCTCTTCTACTTTGCACAGTAGAACCTGCATAGGTGGGACATATATCTATTCTATTAGTTTGAGTATCAGTTGGATGATGATTTTCGACCTGACTTGGTTGGGTTGAATGGCTCGAACTAGAATAAAACATACTTCTTGGGGTTCTACTGTACTTCTGGGCCCCCAAACTTCTGTGCAGCGCATCTGTCAAATGGTTATTCAGCCTTTGTTCTAGAAGGGCGGAGCCACACTCCTCCCCAAAAATTAGCGCCCAGCCTTTCAAATTGAAAACGTGAACCATGCGGTTCATTGGTAATTCATTTATGCGCCACATTTGCTATGCCATGCCCTGCCCTGCTATGCCATGCCATGCCAGGCGGTGTTACAGTCCTCAGGCGGAGTGAGTGAGCCTCTCTCTGTGTGTGTGTGTATCCTGACGACTGGTCGTAGACCCTGGACTGCTGGTCCTGGGCTCTCCTTGTGAGCTGCAGGTGTTTCGCATAAGAAATGGCCCTGATGCCCGTCGATAGCAGGCCCCGGCATTGGATGTAATTTATACTTTTCGCCAGTCGCTTGAAGTTCCAAGAGATGGGCCAGGGCACAGGATACAGAACGAGGACTACGACCACGCACGACTTGACGTCATGATAATGTATCGAATTCATTTTCCAGCTATTTTGCTTGTGCCTTGTCTGGAGGAGCCGTGGGCCATTTTGTTTGGCAAATATCACAAAACGCTTTCGACACATTCCCCATTCATACTCAATTACCTACGTGGGTCCTCCTCCTTCTACGCTTCGCCTTGTTTTTTTTATGGCCAGGTGCACGTTGCCAAGTTTCTGCGAGAGAGAAACGCTACTCTGGTAGATCCTGCTCCTCTCCTCCACGTACAGCTCCTGCTTCAGCTTTTGTGTGTGTTTTCATGTTCTGTTTGAGTTGCTGGCCCTGCCAGCCGTTCAATGACTTGGCCAGAACGCAAAGTTTGTTGCAAATATTTGACCAGTGGCCAAACGCCATCATTCCTCGTTTCCGCTCCTTCCCCTTCCACTGGCATTCTGCCTGCGTTCTTTCGGGCCAATGCATTTATTTATTTGATTTATTTTTTCTTTTGCTCCAACGGCAAAGGCAAAAGCAAACACAGACCAAAAGTTTTCCTCAAATATTATTCACGAGAGTACATGCAATTTCTATGCACCAGACCAGTGTCGAAAATATTCATATTAAAACATGTGAGGCAATTACTTTTATGAAGTGTTGCACTTGCACCACCGACACCACCGCCACCACCGCCACCACCACCACCGGACAACTGCCATCGTAAATTCGACTTTTTGGTATAATTTGCAACGCTTCGAAATTGGAAATTGGAAACGGAATTGCGACTGATTTGAAGTGCTGGGCCCCAATGGACAAAATGAACTCCAACGAGCCGTGGGTCAAAGCTAAATAAATATTGCGGCCTTTTCCACTAAATCAATCATAATCAATATTTAAATTGGCAAAAACATTGAATGCGCGCAAAGGGAAATAATTGATTAGTTCCCAAAAAAGAAAAAATAAAGGAGAGGCTCCACACACACACACATTTCAGCGATGCTGAACTGTTTCCGGCAGTTTCCTACGAATACGAATACTGAAAATAGAGAGCCGCGGCCATGCCCCACTATCAGGTGCCCAATTCGATGCCACAAAACACGCAAATGCACTTAGAAAGAATTGTCGGGGCACAGCAACGGCAACAGCAGCAGGCCGGCAAACTGATTGATTGATTGACGGCTGGATTGATCGAGCGTGAACCGATTAGTTCGATTCTAAGCGAAAGCGATGCTAACTCCTCTTGTCGCAGCCTATTGTCGGGAGGTTTATTTGTGGCTAAACTCTTGCTAAAAATATAAAAGCCATCGTCACAATGTATCGGGAGGGATTAGGGGATTCCCTGTCCCTATCAATCCATCTATCTATGTTATACCAAAAGGCAACGAGACTCGTTTTTATCCATCAGAATCTTCCATCTGCTTAACCATTTTTTTCTTTTGGCTTCTGATAAGGACAAGAAGTTAAGGTTTTTACCAGTCGTTAAGTCAGCTTATTTTCCATCGACATATTGGCGTTATTCAATTGAAAATGTTGTGCACGTCGGATGCAGAAGTCAGCACGCGCCAAATGTCAAGCGGCAAAATCACTAAAAAAAATGTGTGTGGTTTGTTTTTTATACACTTCTCTGCAAGAGGGTAGTCATATTTTCAAACCTGTATATTTAACAATTAAATATGATCAACGAACCTTTCTAATCTCTCAATAAATTGTTAATGGAATTCCCAGAAAAATCAATGTGAAAGAGTATCCACATTCTCCGTCCAGCGAAACAATAGTTTTCCTCTCTAGTTTGCGTTGGTCTCTGTATTCTGTGTGCTGTGTGCTGCGGCGGCAGCTGCTGGGACAGGTTTGAAGAGTATAGTTCGGAGAGCCGCTGGGGCGCCATCGCTTTGGCATTGTCGTCAATGTTTATTTGGGCGAGGTTTAATTATTTTTACGCCCACCTGGCTGGCAGTGGCACGCCCTAAGCGGAAATTGCATAGTGTCGCTATCGTTGCTGTCGTCGTTGTTGCTGTCACAAGTTGCCGCCTTTTTGTTTTATTTTAATTGAATTTTGAAATATGTCCTCGCTGTCGATCCTCTACCTGGCAGTCCCACACTGCCCCTCCTACTTTTTGTGGCTCCCTTTTTTTTGTAGCCTGTGTTTTTTATTGTTATTTGTGTGTTTTTTTGCTCATGTTTCATTCGATTCGGTATGTATCTGCTGCACCGAAAATGCAATTAATTCGAGCACTTTTTGAATTGTGCAATGGCTTCCCCACCCCAGCTCAGCCCTTTTCCCAACAGTTATTTGTTGCCATTGCTGCAATAAATTCTCGAAGCTTTAAAAATAAATCAAATACATTAAGGGCTCTCTCTCCACCTATCTCTCTCTCTCTCTCTGCATGTGACAATTGATAATTAAATCAGACTTTGGGTTTGGCAATGGCCTTCATTCCTCTGAATTAAATTGTTTTAATCTGCTGACGCACGTGTCGTATTCCTAATTTGTTTTATTTTCTACATGATTGATCCGCACGCCTGCTGCACAAATATTTAAATAAAATAGAGTATATTGTCATTGACCGCAAGGCAAAGCAAATTTGCGCTCAAATGCCAATTAGATACGAGGCCAGGCCTGCAGTTGATGCAGCTGCCAACATTTTGAAAGCTTTTTGAGCTGCCTCCTAAGGGATGATAAACCATATTGATGGGTGCGACTGGGCGGACAACTTGTTGAGTGTTTTTCTTTTCGCCAAAAGTGGGTTCTCTTCGAGAAAGAGCTTCATACGAAATAGCTTTTAGATAAAACATGCTTTTCCGAAGGAAAAGCAAACAAAAAATACAACAAGAAGAAGAAAAACTATTCCCCAATGCAGTGAAAGGAAGGAAAGCCGATTTAAGTTTCCAGCCAAAACTCTTCAGCTTTCAACAGTTTATTGAGTTTTTTCTCACACATCCACCCGCACATATTCGTTCATTTATTTAGTACACACTTTTGTGTGTGTTCTGATGGAGCGTTTCGAGGAGAATTAAGTTTTCATTTCGGCCAAGGCTTTTCGGCCACAGGCGTGTACGTTCACAATATTGTTTCAGGCCATAAATTGTTTTGCGGAGAAGAGTTTTGCACAAAACTAATTGTTAATTGAAAGAAAATGCAGTCCACACAGAAAATGCAAAAAAAGGGAATGGGAATGGGAATGGGAACGGGAACGGACGATTATGTGGCATGGAAAGGCAGGCACAAACAAATGCCCAACAATTAACTGTGGCAACAATATAAAGCGGAACTTGACTTGGGGTAGCCGAAGCCCACCCATCGTAGTTTTGCCCCTAAGGGGTACTTACCGCTCATCACAATCACGACGAGGAGCAGCACCCTGGCCACGCAGATGCTGTGTGCCTTGTGGAGTGGCATGGCGATGGCCACGATGCCTGGATGATGGCGGCGACAGGAACAAGATGCGGAAATGCAGTGAGCCTGGACGATGGCCTGCTCTTGGACGAGGGCTGTCGAGTGGGTGGCAGCTTTATCTTTTTGTTCTTGTTGTCTCTCGCTGTGTCTGTGCCTGCGTCTGCTTCTGGTTCTATGTTTTTGTGTCTATGCCGACAGCAATAACCAAGTTAGCAGAATCATCATCGGGTTGCTGGCAGAAGCAGCTGGCTGCAGCTGCAACAACGTCATTATCGGGCCTCCCGGCTCTGTCTCTGGCTTTCTCTATTAACTTGGCCAATTGCCAGGGCTTCGCTTCAGACAGACAAAGGCTAGATGGCGCTGGTTGCCTGGATGGCTGCTTACTGCTTGGCGTTTGCCGTTTGGCTTTTTCTATTTGCCGCCTCTGTTTTACGGCCAGGCTCGTCGTAGTCCTCCGCTCCTACACGAATTGTGGCCTGTAAAGAGCAGAAAAGAGGGAGAAAATGAATTCTGTTAGTGGACTGACGCGAAAGTTATGGCAACTGACAAATCTGGCTAAATGAGGGATGGGGGCATGGTACCATGGCAGCATGGGGGCTAGAGAACTGCTTCCTAAAAGTCAAATGCACTCATGGGCTGTCTACTGCAGCAACCGTTTTGTGCAACAAAATTAAAAAACGACAACGGAAATGAGCAAACGATAATGGAGCCAGCGAAAGAGGCAGCATAATGATGGGCAGCATCTACAGTGGAACCTGATGGCACGAACAAAGGACAAAGAAATCTCTGAATGCCGCCACTGAAGCAACAATCAAATGCATAAATATCGACTTGGTTTTGTGGCTCCATATTTTTAAGAGTAAACAAATGTGATTCACAAAAACAACAAAAGTTGAATTGTGGAAAAACAATGTGCTGGAATGGGAGGATGTATTTTTTTAAGGAAAACCCAATACAAAAAGCAATAACAAATAACAGACAATCCTCAGAAACTGGATGTATGGGTTATCGTAGTGCTCAAGGCATAGATACAACTGTTTTGGGTTTCATTTTAGGCTTTTTAAAGTTTCTCAGACTAAGTTTCAGTCGGAAAAGTTCGATAATAAATCTTCGGGCTATATCTTAATTTTAATCTGTCAACAGTATTGTGTTTGCTAAGCATAAATTCCAGTATTCTAATAGTTCTCTATTCACTACTCTCTCCGTTTATATGCAATTCAAAGACAACCTCTTAGCCCCCACAAACAGTCCCTCTCTCTCAACTCCAACATGTGCACAATCTCTGGCCGAAACTCTGGGAATTTAATTTGCCAAATAGAATTATTTTTTAGCTTTCTGCATAATTTTCACAACCGACTGCCGTCTGAGCGACTGGCGACTGGCGACGGGTGGGCTTATAACTTTAAACAGTAATTAAGTTAATTGCCTGTCTGCCACGAGGCTTAGTGCGCCTCTGCCTGCCTGCCTTCCACATTAAAGCTCACCGATTCCCCGGGCATTTAATGTCATAATAATGGCAGCAGGGCGGCACATATTGCGCGTACGCCATGTGTGCTCACGTGCAGCCGAAAGAAAATTTCGATAAAAATTGTTTCGGCATTCGTTGCCATTATTCCAATGATAGAGGGATTCATAATTCAAATGCATGGATATTTCTCCCGCTCATGCAAATTACGAGTACAACTGAAAAGAAGAGGCTGCTGGTAGGTGGAGCGGTGGGGGTAATGTACTGTAACGGAAACGGAAGCGAACAGGCAGCAGAAGCAGTCAGCCAGCCAGACAGCAATTTTTTTCTATTATTGTTAGCTATTGGTTACAACAACAACAAGAGAGGGTAAAACCCCGCACTCCGACTATCCCGGCGTTTCTATGGCAGACTTCAGACTTTGGAAAGCAATTTGCCACGCACTGTCAGTGGAGTTGAACGCAGTGTGGAACATTTCTAATTTTCAGCTACGAGAAGAATTTATACAATAAAAGAAGTAAACGAAAACGAAAGCCTGTGCCAAACATTCCCGAAAAATGCAGAGAGAGACAGAGAGAGAAAGCTGCCAGAATTTACATAAATACAGCACACATTCAGCATACAAACAGATACAGAAATATGTAGAGATACACTCGCAGATGCGCATATAAATGTAAATGTTATCAAACAAAGATTTGCTTTTACTTTTACGTGTCTCTCATGCTGCAGTGAAAGTGCTGCTGGTTCCTTCCGCCATTGCTGCTAACCAGCCTCCAGTCCCTCTGCATCCCCCCAGTCCTTAGCTTCCTCCCTCAGTGGCAGTCCTTAGCCTCCTTCCCCCAGTTGCATCCCTTGGCCTCCTATTCTTCATCATAATCATTAAAAATGTTTGTGTATAACTCTGAGTATCCTTTGCCAATGCAAATGCAAATGAAAATGTATGTATCTGGAATACCTCCCGTATTCGTAATAGGCAGAGGGGTCATTGAAGCAAATCTTTAACGATAACTACTGCTAAATATGAGTGTTTCATGCATAAAACAAAAGGCGCTTTTAAGAGTGGATTCTAAAGAGGCATTGCATCAAAGAATACAGCGTTTACAACAACAATTTGTTCAGCAAACAGAGAATTTAAGTAAATTCGAACTGCAGTAACATGGAAGCCCCGAGCAAACTTAAACCTTTATGGTGAAGAACACCTGAATTGAAGATATTTCAATTTAGAAAGTTCTCAATGATGCACAAATTAATGTGTGCCAGAGGCAATTTTCCATGAATCCGTGTGCAACATTTGATAAGATATCCGTAAAATAATTTATATAACATAGATTTTCTGGGTTTAAATAGCACAAAGCACCAAGAATATCATTCTCATTAATTATTCAAAGCGATTCTTCTAATGATAAGCTTCAATGAATGGTCAGGGCACAGAGGTAATTTCCAAGGTGGAAATGTAGGAGAGGAAGTAAGCATTTTGATTTCTGAACTGTTAACAACGTAATGGAATGCCTAGGCCTTCGAATTAATCCATTGGATTAGGAATGCCCCTAAATTATGATTCATTTTTCCTGTGAGTTGAGTCTTTCCTTCTCTTGTAATTACTGGAAGGCAGGCAACACAATCAAGAAACCACAACAAAATCGGGAGCCAAATGTATATAACATTATAAAGCAATTTGCAGTAAATCACCCAAAGCGACGCGCGTGTTTATAAATCACAAGCAGCTCCCGAGTCCTTTGCCACACAGTTCTCATCCAGTTTTTGTGGTGTTTTTTTTTTCAGAGTTCTCTTTGTATCCCGCTGGTAGAAAACCAAAATCGAAATGAATAATTAATATGTCGCGCCTGCTGCAAGGGATGAAGCAGGCCAGACGCAGACATCTTCCATCACGGGACCGACGCGACGGCACAGCGAGAGGGCCTAAAAACAGCCAAAGGAATGAAGAGAAAGTCCGTGAGTGAGGCAGAGCTTTTGATACCCTTCAAGTGTTATCTTTTCTTTACGGAAACAAAAGAGATTCCTTTAGAAAGAAAAACGTTCAATCTGTGGGATGTTTTACACCGAAAATGATTATTATCTGCATGGCAAAACATCTTCTCCAATTGATACAACCTTATCTTCCATGAAGAGTAAACAATTTTTGCTGGTCTGCTGCGATGGAAACTAAACAAAGGTTAAGTGGGGGAACAACCACTGTGTGGCAGCCACACAGTGGCAACGGAATCCGCTCACATGAGGCCCGGCGGCGTCTGAGGATCCGTGGATCCAAAGCCAGAGCCAAAGACGAGACATGAGCCAGAGCAAAAACGCTGCCAGAGATTGACAAATTTGCCAGAGCAAATGAAATGCTTGACTCGACTGCGCCTCGTCGACTGCTAAAATTTTTCATTTATGACAATGTTTACGTAATTCGACAGCCAAAACAATTTCCCCAGCTACCGCCCCACATCAGGCTCCATCTGCTTTTCCTCTCTCCCACGCCGCTCTCTTCCGTGACATTGGGATGGGGACGATGCTCGTACGCAAATGGGCGCTCATTTATTGTCATTCCCCGGGAACGGAACAGAGTTTCCTCTGCCCCACAGCCGACAGGCAACAGCCAAGAGCCCCGAGCCTGGCTGTTGTCTTTTGTGGCAGCATTGGGTAGGTGGGAGGAGGAGATTCATGCCACCGTGTGGCTGTTACGGGCTGCAGCAATGGCTTTTAAACCGTTTTAAATGGCCAACGATTTGTTTGAATGTTGTGACATAAAACTGCAATCTATGGGCCATTTCTGGGTGCGGGACGAGCACAAGGTGAGCTTTGGGGTGTGCTTAAATAGCTGCTCTATGAAGCTCCGGCTGACGGGAAGTCTGCAGAGTCCATTAGGTAAAGTATCCTGCTGAAAGGGAAAAGAGCAAAAGAAGGTATTCTCCTGCTTTGTCTCTCAATAATCAAAGATCTTGGACAAATTGTGACAAACTGCTGAAAGGATTAGGGTTAAAAGACGATAGTAAAAGAGACAAGAGAATTAGTAAGGAAGTAGTGGTAGCAGCTGCTTAATTAGACCTTAGTTAAAGGAAATTAGCCAAAGGCACGGGACAGAGCAAAGGAAATTTGCCAGTATCTTTAGCTTCTTTCATTTTTATCTACAATCATTTGAGTTAGAAAACAAATCACTTCTCCAATCAGTAGCTACTCGTAAAATTCATCTTAAGACAATTCCAAGCTTCATTTGCATTCCCATAAAGCACAAAACAGTCCACATCCATCAGATAAAATCCTGGCTGGGACAATTTCCCACTCGACTGACGCTCGTTATCCCTCGTCAAACTTTATGATAATGATAATTATGCAAATGTAGCTCCTAATTGAAAGCCCACCAGCAAAGAGCAGCACCCACGACGACCTTGACATCCAGTCATTAGTCAAACCATTGCAACAAGCCGCCAAAGAAACAAAAGGCAACAAACAAAATATGAGAAAATTATTGTTTTGTGCAATTGTTTGGAGGCGTACCCTGAGTCCTGGGGATTCCTGGGTCTGGGCCTGGTCCGAAAAAAGCCTTGCGCTTCACGGCATATTAAGCAAAATGAATAAATTACAATTGCAAATAGGCAATTTCCTACACTTCCTTCCTTTTGGCATTTCACTGCTGCAGCCACAGCCACAGCAACAGTGGGCAAATGGGGCGTGGCTGGTCGAGTCCTTATCGTACTGCTGCTTGTTGTTTCGGGGCAGGTGCGGGGGGTGGGCCTGCAGGCTGTCAACTTTTTGGCGAATGGAAGTGAGTTTTTGGTCTAATTTGCAATTTTGTTTAATTGTTTTGTGGCTTTCGGATTTTGACATGACTCCCACGTGCCTTCCCCTCCTCCCCTGTTTGTAGATGGCGTGCAGATGGATCGTAACTGCTAACTCTTGTGTGTGTGCTTTGTTTTTGTGTATTTTGTGGTTTTTAGTTTGGGGTCATCGTCAAATGAATGAAATCACGCACCAGCAAGCCACCCATTGAGACCGCACTCTTCCTTTTCT